ATTCTCTAGCCATTCAATATCCTGCGGAAAAGGATCACCACGGGACTTTGACTATCTCCACCGGTGCATAAACACCCGTCACTCAAATTCCCACCCTGATGACTTGAAAATCGTTGATTAGCCATTTCACCTTCATATCTATTTCACAATCTCTCCATCCCAACGAGAAGACATTCAATAGCTTGAAAATCCATTCGCTAAAAATGTCTATATGTGGATCATCTGAATGCATACCAGGCTTCCGTTTTCTCAAGCAATAGCCAGTGAACGTGAATCGTGGTTTCATTCAAAGGATTCCTTCCTTCATCCCGAGAAGAGGCGCCTTGTGTATATAGATAACATACTTGGAGCACTCGGGTGTATGTGGTTGAATGGAAGTGAGGTTAGGTTACTGGACGAGTGGAAATACTCTTGTGCCGAAAGTTGTGAAAAGGCACTATCCAACCATTTATAGAAAGCTTCAGAGAAATCTTGGACGCATTTTACGATCTAACGCAACACGTTACATCGTAAACAACATCTGGCCTTTACATGTCATTCTGCTGCGCTCTATTCCCTAATCCGTTTTATAGTTCTTTTCATTGCCCCAGAACGTGCCTGATTTTTAAGTTTTTTTGTGACACCAGTTGGCGGATAGTCTCGAGTAATTATGACACTGGATTACGGATGGGGTGGTAGAGTTGACAGAAATAGCAAAGTTGGTACGAAAGTTTGTGGATAATGGGTAGAATCCGGATGGCGTTGCGCCTCACATTTTTCCCTGGGTTTCTTACACTGAGAGCACTACACCACTCGTCCTCCATCGTCTCATGGTACTTCCGGAGCCCAGTGGGGGTGCAGTCGCGACCCTTCGAGCTACCGAGAAGCAGGAAGCTGAAGACCGGAAGGTAAGGAAGGCACATATCATTGTGCCGTCGAGTGGCTTGAATATTTCAGTTGGACGGTAAAGAGCACTGGCGTCGTTTCTCTACTCTTGTGCTTCTGGGATACCGAGACTAACGGCTTCATGGCTGGGGCTGGGGGTGGAGGGCCTTGAAGGATGGACAGGGCACTGGTGGAATGGGGTGGCCCAGGCTCTTAGCTCTTTTCTTCGACGTAGACGTGGAGTTTCAACTAATCGGCCTATGAGAGGTACTTGCTACGGCGGAGGGCCAACCGGATAAAGAAAAATAGAGCTCCATTAAGACGAGGGAAGGGACGCTGAGATTCTTCACAGTGGGATATTCCGGATTATGATCTGCACCAGGTATTTGTTAGGCTGTGAGGGTACGTCTCATTTAGTCCAAAACCCACTTGTCCTTCAACTTCCTCTCACAATTTTTCGACTAAACTACTAGCGCCGAATATACTTCAAATTGTGAGTAAGAATTCAATTTAATATGGAAGCGCCAGAAATTTATTTGATTAATCATATTTTTTTCGAGTCGAGTCTATTTGCATTTTTGATATTACGGATTTCAATATTTTACATGTAGAAGTCTATGACTTCTGGTGAAGTTTGAACATCTCCTTCTCAGAACTTCCACCTTCGAAACTCTTAACCTGATCGAGGATTAGCAGGCGTCTAAAAAGTTTGACGCGTTCGTAACATGAAATCATTAAACACTTCGCAACTCCGTCTCTTTTATTGTGCAGACTGGGTACTACAGGTTGAAATCTCAAAGTTCTCATCCCTCCTGAAACTTCAGGTCCATCAAAGCCCGAACAGAATTGAATTTTCCATATGAACCGATCATTTCACAGGCGGTTTAAATTTTGAACCTCATTACGCGTATTGAGTATCAAATTCAATCGAATCTTTGACAAGTTGGGAGCCGAAGGAAACCGGGAAAATCCAAATGGAGTTGAAATAATTTGTAACTGAGAATAATGATGATACAGAGAGAATCCAAATATTTAGAGCGAATGGCGCGTCATTCGGATGCTTTGTCACTCGATTCTCTGAGGAATATAGCCTTTTGGAGTGACAATAGTCATTCGGAGTTGCAGCATCCGTCGAAATTGCGTGATCATGCGAAAGAATGAGGGGGTAAACTTGTTTATGCAGGTGTGTGAGGTGTGTTCATCGAAATTCACGGTGGAGGAAATTCGAAGGTGACGACAAACGAGCCAGACGGGACATGGTATAGCGGGTTGCTCAATATATACAGGTTAAAGGCGGTCATAACTATGTCACAGCTTCGTTGGACCGAATTCTCTTGGGCTATTTGCTGGGGGGGAGTGGACGGGAGCGGAAAAGGGGATGAGGCTCAAGCGGGGTTTTAGTGAGGGTGGCTGGGTTAAGTTTACGGGGTCAGTTTGTCGAGAGGCGGTCTCTCAACGGGGGCAACCGAGTTCTGGGATATCGTTATATAGATGCCTTGGGTTTTGCCTCAGCCCGGGTGGAGGGCCACCGGTGAGGGTAAGATTTAAGCCCTGACAACGTCTCAAGCCCAAGTGCACTGGAGTTCTCGTAGGCGAACACTGCCGAGGTACATGACAGTGACTACACCAGTATAAGGTTTCCACCAGCCAATCACCTGAAATCCGACTTTTCCGGGATATTTTTCCGTGCTCTGTCGAATTTTTTTTCACCCCACCGAAGTACACATCACGATAATTGACGGGAGAATTGGGGAAGTGATTGGGACTAGCGGGAAAATCTGATTTCGAAGGCTCTCTTTTTGGTGGGCGGAGAATCGAAGGCTTAATCATTCTGTAATGGGAAACTCAATGGTATTTAATTTTCAAGATGAATGAGACCTTTCATGATGTGATCTTAAACTGAATTAAACTCCGCAACATTGAGAATTCAGTTGCAACCGTTGCTGGGGGTTGAACAAATTTCTAACAGCGCATAACTAAGTGACTCAATTATTTACCGTAGCTACTCCTCAATTAAAAATAGAGTAATCCTTAAAAATGAGGGATAAAACTCCTGAATTTGGATGAAATCAGAAAAGTTTCCTCGAATATTCCATGCAAATCAAGAGTTAAAATCCCTTAATTTTATAATGACTGTGAACCCCTATAAACTAGGCAGTAGTTTGGGAAAATGGAAACTTTTCTTTCGGCGTTTTACTTTTATGAAATGAACCGTTCAATTGAAAAGAGAACAACCACGAATCGAGGATCAAATGATGGGACACATGAGAAAATCAGAAAATGGTGAAGATCCCCGGGATGCGGCGCCGCGACTGAATTATTACGTCTGAACATTACAATCGGACGAGCGGTACTTCCATTCCGTTTCCACTGGTTTTTTTTTCATCTTTTTCCGCAAAAGTTGCCCATACTTTTATACAGATAAAGATCTCAAGGGAAGGGAGAGGGAAAAAGTTATAGTCGTTTGCAAACTAATCGAGCACTTGGTTTTCTGTGAAGCGTTGAAACTTTTCGGTGACTGTCAACTTTTCTGCGTGATTCCTTCCCGTTTTCTTGAGTGAGCCCTCATCCACTCGGTAAGCAGAGGTAATCGTCGTGACACTTCAAAGAAAAGAGGAATGATGTCAGTGTAGGGGTTTATTTAAAATTTATCAACAACCTAAGAGAATAGGTTACTGTTAGAATTCCCATTTCCCGGTGGCGTATGTACTTTAACTATCTGAATACTTTAAATCTGGGAGAAAGTTTTAATCATTTCTACACTAATTGAGGTGTTCGGAAATAATAATCCGTTGGTTATTCCAAAGTTTAAAAAATGCATGCACTTTTGCAACATTTTCCTGGGAAAGTTTATTTATTAAAGTTCTTACTTCAACTAGGTAAACGAGGGGAGATTAAATTTTAAGGAGATCCTCTTCGAAATACAACGGCAACGGTCACTGTCAAACTATTCACGAAGATGAGACTTTTGTGTATATTGAAAAAGTCAGCTTATTTTAACATTCGAAATGTGTTAACAGGAGATTTTTTTTTAGTCCTTACTTGAGAATTGGAAGTCTCATTGTGGGTCAAAAATTCTTGACTTCGGACATTCATAAGTCTCAAGACTTTTTGTCAATCAAACTTTCTAAGACTGGGATTCGGAAATTATTTCAAATTGATTAAAAATTCGTAAGTCTGCTCAAAAAGTCTGCATTATCCTCAATTTCTGTTTCGCGTATCTTTCGGTTTTCCTATTCGACGTTCGGTAAGAAAAACCACAGCAACCGGACAAAATGAAGCTGAAAAATGAATTTCTCCCGCATTCGAATTTGCTACGAAAAAATTGGAACGAGCATGTGGAGGGAATAGTTGCATATTGCCGATTTCTCCGAACTCTCTTCCCCTACAGCCCCATGCACGCCACCATACCGGAAATCTACTGTAATTTAAGTCGAGTCGCAAAGTCGAATCAAGTTTGTCAGGTCTCAAATTGAAACTGTGAAACTCCTCAATTTGAGTGGACAAGTCTCAAAATAAAGCTCGATTCAGCAGAGTCCACATGCCTCTATCCCGATTATTAACGGAAAAAGCACTGACAAATCTCATTTCCGTCTGTCCTCAACTGTTGTTTATCCACGATCAAAGTGTTTTCTTTTCACCGCTGACCAGAAGATTTTTCTTGAAAAAGGTGGGAAGCGGTAACATACGGTTTCAAAATGAAAGTAGCGTGAAAAAAAAAAACTGAAAGAAAACCCACTGGCAATTTTTCATGAGGTCTTTTTTCTCCTTATAACAGTAGCCGTCCGGAGTTGAAAATCGATTTTTCCCCGTACAGAGTCTTTATTTCTCGTCGCTAGATGTTGGTCTGCACCCTCGTATTTTCATCTCCCTTTTTCGTCATGTACCTATATACATTTGAGTGTAGATAGGAGTCCTTGGCCCGTACCCTTCGACAGCGGTGCTTCTCGTTAAGCCATTCCTCTCGCACGTCTTTTCACTCGGAGGAATGAATAAAAGTGAATGAGGCGACGGCATGAGCTCACACCGGTGAAATATTGCTCGGTGAGACCAACGCTGCCATTTCATTCATCCACCTTTTCCCTGTTAGATGCTTATGGAAATTAAGACAATTGAAAATATAAAGGGAGACTTACGAGATTTCACCGAACGGTGCGAAGGCTTCTCTCAGCGTTTGTGTCTCGATTTCTGGACTCAAGTCACCAACGAATATGTGATAGTGTTCTGCAATGAGACAATTACTCATTAAAAATCACATCATTCAACAGTTTTCTAGAATCAGGAAAAAAATAATATAAATATTAATATTATCAAATTGCGGCGAAATATTTCTCTTCTCTCTGCGTTTATAACATACAATGATAAAATGAATGGTTTGTTATTCAAAAGCGATTTTAATTATCGGTTACTGGTTCGACCATGTCTCGAACATGAATCGCTGTTAATTAATTGTTTAATGGTCATCATTCCATGAAACTAGAGAACCATTATAAAACATATATTTAATTAGACTATTAATTGATTTTGGGATATCTTGTTATCGTATTTTACGTAAATTTTCCAATGTATTGCTCGCATTGTTAATAAATGGACTTCCGAATGTTGAACATTGAACAGAATCCGATAATAATAATAAATAGATCCTTCACTCAGTACGCATCCAATTTGTTTTCAGCTCTCTCAATTATCCATTTTTAGGAAATGTTTTGCTCCTCATTGAAAACTCAAATAAATGTTTGCAATGTTTAAAGAATTATTATAAACCAGAATTAATACCAGAATTATTATAAACAATTATCCTCTCAGAACAATGTGTAATGCAACCCGACGACGGTGGAATTGTCTAGATTGAATCGAAAGTTAATCCAATCCTTTAAGACCCAGCGACCAGACTAAAACCAGAAGTTTTATCACTGAAAAGTGAATTCCACAGGAATCTGGGTGAAATTCTCGTGCTCAACAGTGGAAAACAATGATCAATAGTCGCAACAACTTAACAATAAAATTAATTTCAATTGTGTCGGGTGGGATTTGGGAGTTTGCATATAATCTTGAGAGCTTTTGGCGAGATATTCCGGCAGGATGTACGTGAAAGTCGGAGTAGATCGTTGGTTAATGTATGTGTGGGCTTGCAAGTGGTATAGCGAGGGGTGGAGGAGTACAACGAGGGTGAAACTTGGGGATATAAAGGGTGGGAGTGAAGTAAGGACCAGCGTCCCTTTCAACGGCCCCATTAAAATTGCAACCGTTAATTTAGCATCGCCCTGTTAGAATGGACCACTACGAATATACCAGTACCAAGAGAAGCGTATAACCGTTGGGCTCTCGGTTTTCTCTACGCACAGTGCATATTTATTCAAGACTTTGTTTGTCTTTCCATCGGCATAAAGCCTCATATGGCCATAACACCTGTACCCGGGGACCCGAACCGCATTGTGTGCTACATACGCCGCTACCAATGGTGAAAATAATTGAACTAAATCTCCTTTGTTGTTAAATATTTATGAATGCCTAATACATAGAGAGAGGTCTATCAGAAATTAATGACACGACCGGGTGAAGGATATTTTAGGCGAGCTGCTTACCCCGAATCCTCATCTTCATTTTCTGCCAAAATGTTCATGAAAATGTCATGTGTCAAAGCCATGAAGACGAAACGCGAAATTCACGTGAAGAAATATTGACAGGATATCACTGGAAATTTTATCAAATTATACGCGAAGTACTAGATGGAACGTTCTGGTTATAATAAATTTTGATGAATATCATCTCAACACAATCAGAATGTTAATTAAAAAAAAAATAAACGTTCAATTTTTTACTGTTTCCCGACATTTCAGAATTATAAAGAACGAGAGAGAGTATGAGCCAGAGTTCATCTGCAATTGGACTGGCCTGTTAAGTAAAGATCGAGTAGTAAGACATCAAAGAAACATAAAGCAAATTCAAGAATGACCCGAGGGAAACTATCCGTCACTGAAGAGTACCTTGAAAGCAACAGTATTCAGGTCTTTTTCCCCTTGCAAGCACGAGCACAAGCATATCAGTGGAATGAGTCTGGAACGAGTCAAAATGGAGTATGATGCCCAGCGACCGGGATATATCTGTCACATCGTCCATTTGCATTACAATACCACCCACTTCACCCGGACTAGGCCTCACGTTTGTCCAAGCACGCAGCGAGATCCGATCTCTCTACTACTGTGCACGTTCAATGATTTATACCAACGTATAATTTAGAGAGCATCTCCATCGAAACTCCACCACTCAGATGCTTCCGCTTGGATTTTCATAAGAATACCCCTGGGGTACGAGTGACAGCGCATCGTCCTCTCGAGTCGATTCAGTTTTTATCGGGGGAAATACGATTGTTCATTACAGAATATATCTCATTCTCCTCATTTTCCATCGACCAATGGTATCAAGAGAGAAAGGTCCAGTCTCTTTGACAGTCATATGTTACTCCAATGATATGTAGAGAAAATCGAATTGCGGTGCAGTCGCCCATTCCCATTGGCCTCTCTATGATGACTCGTCGATTCCACCAGCCCTTGAGGCACTTGTACGCCATCTCCTTTATCAACTCCACCTTTGTCAGTTAGTTGGAGGTACGTAGAGATATGCCCGGGGCTGCCGGAACTCCCGAGATGTACGGACGTTGCTCCGATTACAATCGGTTTGATGGTTTATCCACCGGAGGGGTGAGGCCAGGGGGATAGGTTCTGGTAGACGCACATGGTCGTCCATTTCCGCGAATTAGTTCGACCCCTGTGCTTTCCACCACCTGGACTACTGCATCACCACTGGCCTACAGCAATCCTCCGATACGTCACTTCATTCCACGACATATAACTGCCAAGAGATGCTCCTCCCTATTTTTTTTTACCTCAGCCTGCATTTCCCTCTCCCTCCTGTTTTGAGGCATAAATCAGGGTGGAATCGGATTGAAAAAGTTGGCATAGATTTCTACCGAGTGCCATTGCCTGGGAGAAGAAAATTTAAACGTTTTTCGAACTGTGAAAGGGTCGAAGGGTGGAGACAGAAACGAATGCCGGAAGATACAGGGAGTTTTTTTTTTTCAACCCTACTCTCTATTCTCACCCAACCAAATGGACGACGGAGAGAGAGAGGGAGAAAGAGGGCACAGGTTTGAGTACTGCGTGGCGATAGTCTCTGGTACGAATTTATTTCACGATTGCGGCTATGCCCATTGTTGGGAATGGCCTCGAGGGAGCGGCTAATCCCCATCTCGCTAGTATTGGACTCTCAATGTTAAAATTTCTCTGGGAATTGGGAAAAAAAGAGTTTTGTGGATCGATCCTCACTCTCTCGGCAGTTGGCAGTGGTGAACTGGTTGAAAATCGTGAGGGGGTTGCAGAGGCTACTCTGAGCGGTCCCAAAGAGACAAACGCCAGCTCGACGGATTCATTGTTGCAGTCTCTCCCTTTTACCCAGTCCTCAACGTTGAAAATTTAAGCCTCGTTGCAATGGTCCTACCACACCAAATGCTCACCAGGGTGACCACGAATAACATAGTGCACCGTTTATTATCGCGGTTGAAACGTCAGAAATGGTGGCAATTATTTTGCTTGTGAAACGGCTGAAACCACGGGGGCTATTATCGTCATCACCGTTACCATCGTCATGTTTATTAACATTACGACAACAGAGGTGGAGGAAATGGGAGGGAGATGGGGAGTCCCCAGAGTGGACGGACAACAGAGGTGAAAGGGAATAACAGCGGTAATAAAGGTATACACTAGTGGTCACTCTCTGCATGTGAATGCATTCTATCCGACAGGTTTTCCATCCTTTACCCCTGCATCGCGTATCGTCCGAATGATATTCTCATATTCACCCTCTACCTCTGGCATCATCAAACTACACTAGATATACACCAACCGTGCCCGAACATACCGCACCGTTCAATGGTAGATTAATGAAAGAATCGTGCAAAGATCGAGATTGCCAGACGTTAGGAAGATCGACGAGAGAAGAATAACGTCTATATACATATGGTGGAGAGGCTGGCAACCGGAACGGGGGAAAATGGAACAAGTCGAAATGAAGAGTTCTATTGAATTTTCGACAATGCCAACGATCTACCCACGGACAAAGTTGAACGCGCCGTGAGGAAAAAGGAGAGTGAACGAGTGAAGGAGTGAAGTAGTGAAAGAGGATGCGGGAGGCGCAGCCGAGGCAACCGGAGGAATGAGTCCTCATCCTCTCTACTCCTTTATTGGGACGGTGCGACATTGCCCTAGGGTTTGGCTCGTATACCTCGAGGATTGCTTCAATTTCGAAAGACATACCCGTGTAAAGTTGATTTACGAAGATAAAACAAACCTTCTTTATCCTTTGTTAGCTCAACCTCGAGCGTCAGCTGATACCAGGAGCTTTATTTTTCTTCTTGTCATTACTAAATTCAACGGGATGAATCCCGTTTTCAATACGCGATGAATTATCTGGTCTATGGTGGGCTATTTAAATATTATGGGCATCATGCTGGTGGTGGGGTGAATGCTATTTTCTACCAGTGGACATTTTGTTTGGCAGCTTTTGTGCGTTCTGTGTGCATTCGTGCGAGCGATGACAGGTTGAGGGGCTGGGGGATAACTTCGATGGGAAAGCATACGCGGGGGTAGAGCGTCGATGCGGCCGTGGGCTCGTAAATCGCTGTGATTTAGGGGATGACCGACATATTGGTCGACGCCGAGTTTCGACTACTGGCGGGAGGGGGATTTTGTCCACTGGCTCTGTAGAGGACGCGTATCTGTGAACTCCAACTGCGATATGGTTATCCCAACCCCTCGCGTATATCAGGTATGGAGTGCAGGGGCTTCGATGTATCATTCTAAGACAGTGAGACCTCCCATCTTCCAAGTTAATATACATATTTCACGGGTTATCCTTGGTTTGTTGTCGAAATAAACCAGTGACCGGAAATATCCGTTTTCCAAGAGGGCACTTGACTCTTCATCTAGAAAGTGCGATCGAGTATCGCTTCACGAGGGATTCACAGAAAATCGGCGATTTGTTTAATTGCGAGGGAGTAATGTCGCGGAGTCGAGTAAAATGTTTGACAACTCGAAATAACCTGTCTCGGTATTCCGTCTGGAGAATGAGAGCGGTGTAATGGGACCATCGAGACGATACCGAGTGATCGTTATAAATTCAAAGGGCGCTTCGAAATAACACTGCACACGGAGTGAATCAGAAAACCA